TGCTAAGGTAACATTTTTTCATTTCCCCAATTTATTGTTAGCACCTAAATTAATTCCTTATTCACACGATAAATTGATTATTCCGGTAAGAAGATAATATCCAGTCAATTTATCACCGTTGGCGATCAGGAATATGCTATGCATTGCGTTTGGAGTCCCAGAAGCGTAGGTGCACAATTCGAGTAACAAACATACAAATATGCTTGCGTCGTTAAATANTGCTAAGGTAACATTTTTTCATTTCCCCAATTTATTGTTAGCACCTAAATTAATTCCTTATTCACACGATAAATTGATTATTCCGGTAAGAAGATAATATCCAGTCAATTTATCACCGTTGGCGATCAGGAATATGCTATGCATTGCGTTTGGAGTCCCAGAAGCGTAGGTGCACAATTCGAGTAACAAACATACAAATATGCTTGCGTCGTTAAATAATGTTGCGAAATGCCTGTGATTATCGGACGGGGCTGTGAAATGCGAGTAAAAGCGGGGGAAGGAAAACGTTGGATAATTTATGCATATATCCTTCTCTCGTAATTGCCATCGCGTTTCTCAACGTCTGTTTTGGTTTTTTGACTCGATGTTTGTTCGGGGAACATCGAAGAGCTCGGCACACATTCGAATATTTATTCGTTTCGTGATTTATAACTTCGATCGTTTCCCGACTTTACAAATTTCTCCGCTGAGGAATTGGATAACGCGATTCTTGGAACGTTCGCCGATTATGCTCGGCTGTGAACATCAATACGCGACACTAATTCGTGTCACGTGTGTTTAATTGACGACCACGGACATCTCGCGCGACGCCGACTCGAATCGATGGTTTCATATTTTCCATAGTTTTCCATAGCTTTCTTTAATTATCCATAGTTTTTTATTATCCATAGAACGTAACACAATTACCGAATCATACTTTTACCGTGTAATTTATCTGTTTCGCCACATAATTTTATTCTTAGTATCACGCTGTCCATTATACAGCGTACACTTACAAAGCGTATTCGCGTAAAAGTTGTTATTTAGACATATTTACAACTTACGGAATACACGCGCGTGCATGCGATAGAGCAACAATTGATCGCAATGTAATGATGTAATTATTACAGAAGACCGCTTGGAAATTATCTTGACCCTGAAACAGCCCGAAATCATGGCTGCGATCTGACCGTGGTGATAAGCTTAAATAAGGCAAGGCTTTTGATAAGATTAGTCATAGGTTGTGACAACAAAGCAATGGCCCACCCGCATGAGGGTAATGTGACCCATATACCTTGACCCACTGTCATGGGTTACAGGTAATATACACACCTATGTCCTACATCATCTTATCGTTTCTCTCGACGTTAACTAGAACTTCGATAACTCGGCTTGTGTACATGGTAATCCTGTCGGGGAGACAACAAGTATCTACGTTGTCTTTTTGATGAGCTGATTCCGTTCTGTTTTTTTTTAAATAAGACTATTTAGCCGATTAAGCTAATGAAACGTTCATTTACATAATGGATATATAGTA